ACACACGCACAGACACAGACACACACACACACACACATTTATTAATAAAAACACATTTTTTGCACACACAATCAACAGGTAACAAAACACGTTAAACAGACACACTCAGAGTACCACACGAACACGCACCTTCTACACACATGCACATATACCTTATTCCCGCTTTCTATCACCCCTTCGGCCCACTAAGCCTTCCAACATAAGGTTCACAACCCCCCCACTGTCACGCCCCGGAATTAACTGAGCCCCACACATGACGTACCCACGTACACTCACATCACGTACCTATTGTCGGCAAAAATAGCCTGCCAATATGTTTAAGACCGTAAGATAATGCAACTACCTCCTCCGAAATAGCATTTCTGGCGTTCTAGACCATAATGGCCCCCTCCCCCCAGCAAATAAAAAGGTCCCTCCTTGCCTTTCTCCTCACCACTTCCTGGCCCCGCCTCCCCTCTCTCTTCAAAACACCTTCGAAACGACGCTACGAAACACCTCCGACTGGGCCTCTTCCATAAAGACAAAAATTCACACCTGACCCTCCGCCATAACTGGCATGACAAAACTGCATGAATCTACCCCTCTCTCATCCCCTTACCGAATACGGTCCGCTAATGACAACTTTCCACCTCCACTCGCACAAAGCTGCAACCTCATCCCCTTCCCCTAAGCATCACGACAGTACCCGTAACTAACAGACAAAATTGCTCCCCCGCACCTCCCGCTGACATCAACGTTGCGCTCCACCCGCCATACGAAACTGGCCATCGCTAGGCGAGCCTAAAGAGTTGCTCTCAGTGTGAGGCACCCACCGTCGGCAGAACAGACAACACCTGCTCCATTTACCACACAGATGTTTCACATACCCGGTGCAACATGTTTGTCCACCATGACCACCCACACCTCCCCAGTGCACCTGCTCCCCCCACACCCCCGCGATTTCCTTCCTCCCTTGCCATGGCCCGCCTCAGGGCTTCTTCGGCCCCTTACCCCCTCAAACTCACTATCCCTCTCCTGGTTCACTCCCCGTCTACGCTCCGGCACCGCCCCGCCTCCCCTCATAAAAGAGCACCTCAGCTCTCTTTCTCCCCCGCGCCTTTCGCTTCCTGCCCACGGTTGCGACCACGCGTTCCGCGCAGTTACTTTCCACAGCCAGAAACGTCTCAGGCTCGTACATGCGCTAATTGCTCAACTGCATTCCGGCCAACTTCGCCATGGCCTCCAATGCAGAAGACCTCGTCACGGATACCGAGATCAACGAGCACACGGTAAGTGACCTGCCCGCCCTGCACCTCCTCCTCCTCGATCTTCCCCCATTCTCGAGGTCCCCCTTGGCTATTTCTTACCACCCCCCCTCCCTCCACTCCCCTCTTCCTTTCCCTCTCGTTCTTATGATGCCTCCCCCTTCCTCAACCTCATACCTGCCTCCAGAGCAAGAGCCCAACGGCTCAACTTCCCTCTGATGAGTCGTTCCACGGCGCGAACGACGAAAAGTGCTTCAGGGGCCGCACCAACCCCTCCATCTCCGTGTGGAAATCGGTCCTCCCGATGCTGAGGTTTTCTCTCTCTCCATACTCCATCTATGTCCTCCCCCTGCCCCTCCTCAACCAAGAATCTTGCCTTCTCCAAATGGTAATTGGTCCATTGGATGCTGGATAGGTTTATGATTGGTTTCTCTCCCAAAAATTTCCCCTTTCCCTCTTCCCGCAGTGATTGAATTGACACTGCTTCGATGTCTACTCTTGCTTTGGAAGGTTGGTTTGGTTGCGATGAGTCCTTTGTGTAATGCCGTTCCCGTTCATACGGGCTGCTCTTACTTGCAATTGCATGTAATGTTTTTGTTAACACACACACACACACACACACACACACACACACACACACACACACACTTGTGATGGCCAAAGACCCGACCAAAACTGACCAGGGGGAGCAACCCTACTATCTCAGTTGGGTGGCACTACGCGTACCCATAGGCACTGTGGCGCATCAATCAATGATGCTAAAGATACCTTTTATAGGCACTGGCGTGCTAAGTGTGGGATGTTCTGTTTGGGGTTGACAACAACCTGCCAAGCATATGGCTTGGCAGCATCGCCATCCTGGATGCAAAGTTGCACAAATGTTTTTGAAAAGCCGAAAAAACAAACCCCCTCCCCCACGACTCTCCTCCTCCTCCTCCTCCTCCTCCTGATTTGAGTTATATCCCGTGTACCATGATGTAGAGAATCATGACTACCATTGCAATGACTTAAAAAGTTATCATCGGCATCATTGTCATCGCCATCATGATGAGACAAACCCTCGTCGTGTCCTCTACCCAACGAAAGTCACGAAACACTGGGTAAACAGGCATTCCCAGGGATTACTGATCAGTATGGTAGGGGCTCAGTAACTAAGGGGGTACTCTAAACAAGGGTCTCCACAATGTATCCGATCACTTTTTCGGCTAGGTTCAGTCCTGGAAGTGCTTGTCTGAGGACGGTCTGGTTCAGGGAAAATTGGCCTGATCTGTTAGATGTGACTGGTTGGGCCTAAACAGCTGACAGTAAGTGCACACTTGTGAGTCAACGAAGGTCCTTCCTTCTTCTTCTTCTTCTTCTTCTTCTTCTTCTTCTTCTTCTTCCTCTTCTTCTTCTACTTCTGCACACTTGTGAGTCAACGAAGGTCCTTCCTTCTTCTTCTTCTTCTTCTTCTTCTTCTTCTTCTTCTTCTTCTTCTTCTTCTTCTTCTTCTTTGTTGTCATCATCGTTGTCATCATCGTTGTCGTCGCCTTTGCCTTCATCGTCTCTCTTCTTCTTACTACTACTTCTTCTTGTTCTTCCTCTTGTTCTTCTCCCCCTCCTTCTCCTTCTCAGGTTCCCCCCCTTTCGTCTTCTTCTTCTTCTTTTTTTTCTTCTCGTTCGTGGAAACCAAACCCCTGATAATATCATAATCATCTGATTCCATCCGGATTCGAACTTTTGCTCTGTTCACTAGCACTTGCATTCATACCGGTCAGCCATATGGCCTGGGTATTCACGGTGGTCTTAAAGTGGAGCGGGGGAGGTGTTGCCACCGGAGGTGGACAATTCTATACATCTCAATGGTATTGTGAAATGATTAAGAATACGCTCGGAATTCTAGCACGTCTTACGTAACTGGACGTGATCAATGAAGCTTCAGAGTGTCCACAGAAGGAAAAAAAAATGGTGATTTTTAGCTCTTATCTTCTTCTTCTTCTTCTTCTTCTTCTTCTTTTTCTTCGTCTTCGTCTTCTTCTTCATTGTTTGATTAAAGGTTATAACAACATGTTGAGGGTAGGTTACACCGTGATGGGGAAAAGTATAGGAAATTCGGAGACGAAGTTTAGGAAATAAAAGAAAAAAAGTTTGGCCTGCTTTAAAGACAATTCTGGTGCACACCAGACGCATACAGTTGCGGCGAGTTGCCCCTCCCTGCTCTGAGTCAGCAGGCTGAACTAATTAAGCTAAGGAGGGCTGGGTTGTCACCGCCGTTTTGGTAAAAAAAAGTAGAGTTTGGTCCACGGGTGGTTTGACAAATCAGCAATGAAGATCTGGGGTGTTCAAGTAATGGGAGTTAGGATCGCAGTGAGTACGGTCCTTCAGCAATGGGCGGAGTCATGTGGAGTGAATGATGCACTGAAGATTGACTGCGATCGATAATGCATTCACGATTGATTGAGGCCCTGCATTTGTCTCTGACTGGCCGGCTTCTTCTAACTGTGTGTGGGTGTGCTCCTTGTCGAAAGGCAGGTACATGTGAGGTAACATCTCTCTGTGTCTCTCTCTCTCTCTCTCTCTCTCTCTCTCTCTCTCTCTCTCTCTCTCTCTCTCTCTCTCTCTCTCTCTCTCTCTCTCTCTCTCTCTCTCTCTCTCTCTCTCTCTCTCTCTCTCTCTCTCGTGTCTGCATCTGCCATTGTACCTGCGTTCATGACTTGTAGCTCCCAAGTGTGTCCGTCTCTCGGTATTGCTCTCACGTTGCCAATTCCCTCCGACGAACACAAGTACTTGCCTTGCCCTCTCCTGCAGAAGCACTGGTCCCCCTGTTACACGCCCCACGCCTCCAATCCCCCCCCCCCCCCCCCACAGCCCTCCCGTCCTCTCTCTCGTGCTCTAACCCCCTTGTCCAGCTGTTACTCCTTGAGCTGAGTAAATCAACGAACGAAGATGGTGTACTTCTTCAAAGCTCGTCCGGAGGCGGGCGATTTCACGATATACATGGGTCTTGACAAATTTGAGAACGAGGAATTGATCAAGTATGGCTTGCCGGAGGATGTGTGGTTCCACGTGGACAAGCTTTCATCTGCACACGTGTATCTCCGCCTGCGCAAGGGACAGACAATTGAGGACATAAGTCCTGAGGTACTGGAGGACTGTGCGCAGCTTGTGAAGGCCAACTCGATTCAGGGCAATAAGATCAACAACGTCGATGTCGTGTACACGCCCTGGGCAAATCTGAAGAAGACGGCAGCTATGGACGTTGGTCAGGTGGGATTTCACAGTTCGAAAGCCGTCAGGACAGTACGCGTTGAGAAGAGGATCAACGAGGTCGTGAACAGGTTGAATAAGACACGAGTGGAGCGAAAACCAGACCTGAAGGCGGAGAGGGAGGCATATGACGCAGCAGAGAGAGCACAGAGAAAGGCACATGTGCGAGAGATCAAGAGGAGAGAGGCGGAGGAGAGAGCGGAAAGGGATCGCCAGGCGGAGTTGCGGAGTTATAAGGGGCTCATGAATCATGCGAAGATGACGTCCAATAAAGATGCGCTCAAAGGGAAAAGTGTACAGGAGATTGAGGATGACTTTATGTGAGAGAGGGGGGGGGAGAGGGGGGGGGGAGGGGGGGAGGAAGGGGCCAGCGGGAAAAGAAAAGAAAAAAACCCGTTTTTCTTGTTTGGTTTTGGTGTGACTTGGTCTCTCTTTAAAGGTGAGAGGAGCCATTTTGATTGCCGAACCCAGGCCTTCTTGCTGTGGCATGCATGGATGTGTCTCTATGTTATCTAGACATATGTGCTATATCCGTAAGTGCTGTTTGTACGCCTACGATGTCTGTACATGAAACTGTATCGCCTTTCTAAAAGTCTTGCACTATTCTCTAATACATCCCCACTACGCACCCACTCCTAGTTTGCCTGGAACCCCTAGTTAAACGTAGATGGCTTGGGGTTAATCCTAATGTGCAGCTAGTACTTTCCCTCCAGTTAACCCACTTTCTATCCACAATTTGTCCACATTTTGTTCACATGTCATCCTTGTCCCATCTGTGCAACAAGCTGGAAGGCGGCTTGTCAGAATTCCATTTTTGCTGTGTCCACACAACAAGCCTACAGTGCTGATCACTAACTGATCATCTATGCGTCTTTGTGCTAAGATTGGTGCTGAGGGGAGAGAGTGGGAGGGCATGGTGGAGGGGAGGGAGTGGAGCAGGCAGGAGAGAAAGAGAGAGAGGTGGGGCGAGTGGTTTTGGGTGTAAGACTGTTCTTTTCTGCTTTATGGAGAGAGAGAGAGAGAGAGAGAGAGAGAGAGAGAGAGAGAGAGAGAGAGAGAGAGAGAGGTGGGGCGAGTGCTTTTGGGTGTAGGAGTGTTCTTTTCTGCTGTATGGAGGCATGGCTAAATTTTATTTTTTTCAGAGTTCTGTAATATTGTAGTGTGAAATGAGTGATATATAAGGTTTTCGCGAATTGAGGTTTCCAGTCAGTTGCCATTGCTATTCACTAAGGCCAAAGTTGAGGTTGTTGGAGTGCGTGAGTGTATGGGGGAGTGATGATTTTATCCTCTGTATGTCATGTACAAGGTGACCAGCGAATGCACCCTTTAGTCCGCTAGCAGAACTCGTGATCAGGGAAAAAAAGAGGCAGGGCAGACAGTTGCTCGTGTCCAGGAATTGTTGTTGGAGTTGGAGCTGTCGCTCTGCAAGTGAGGACGGAATTGGAGCCTGCCCTTACCATTGGCTGATTGGCTTTGTCGTTGACAGCTTAACATCTCTCTCTCTCTCTCTCTCTCTCTCTCTCTCTCTCTCTCTCTCTCTCTCTCTCTCTCTCTCTCTCTCTCTCTGTGTGTGTGTGTGTGTGTGTATATATATATATGGCTATCTATCTATCTATTTCTGTGAGTGTGCGTGTGTGTGTGTGTGCGAGTGCGAGCACCCCTTTTTCGCATGGTCAGACATGGTTTGCGATCAAGAAATCGATGCAGAACTGGCGAAAGTTGCCTGGTGTTGCTAGACCATGTCTTTGTTTACAGGGAATCTACTTCTATGCTGTAATGGCCAACTAGTTTACTATAGGTATAGGCCCAAATGGGGTGGTTTTCTGCCAGACAATCATCACCTATCCAACCCAGTAAACCTTAACCTACTCCGCTGTCTTACCCGAAGTGTCTACGCTACGTTGCTGGATTCACCCGCCTAACCTGTTCTGTGGGCTGCATCACTGTCATCCCCCTTTCAACTACCCTGCTGAGCCATCCTATTTGAAAGCTGGCTTTCCACACCGATCAGGTTTCCATTTGCTGGCCAAGAGGATGGGAGGTAGCCATGGTTTCTTGTTGGGGGGGGGGGGGGGGGGGGGGGGGGGACAGCAAATCAAATGGTTGGCCTGGTTGCATCATCCTGAGGCTGAGTGGAAGACGTGGAGTCCCCGCTCTGCTGAAGTTAGTTCAATGTGAGGACGAGAGACATTCATCCTCAAGTCTCTGAAGGGCGACAACGAGGGGCGCATGTGTCTGCCTGTCAGTCAATAAGGTTTGGTGACCTCTTGCCCTTAGGCCAGCTGGAAACCCTTTTGGTTCCACTGGACACACTGCTTGTTCCAGAGACACACTGCTTGTTCCCGAGAAGGCCCTTCAACTTCCATTTCGTCAAAATGGACATCTTTTATTTTTTGAACGAAATTGAAACCGAGTTTTTTGGGTGAAAACTCGTCAAAAATTTGTTGTTCCTGAGGGTCCGGCGTTTGTAAAACGCTGGACCCCCTGGCTGTACATGGACCTAGCTTGAGACCAGGTACCTCCAGGCAGTCCTACCTGGAGGTGCCTGGTCTCAAGCTAGGTCAATGTACAGCCAGGGGTTCCAGCGTTTGGACCCTCAGGAACAGCAAATTTTGACGAGTTTTCGGCCAAAAAACTCGGTTTCAATTTTGTTCAAAAAATAAAAGATGTCCATTTTGACGAAATGGTCGTTCTTCTGGTTCCACCTGAAACCCGCTGGCTCACGTTACGACCCTGCTGGGGGGGGGGGGGGGGAGTTTCCCATAAAAAGCCCAGGTTGTTATAGAGGTCAGGTATCGACCCAGGTGGGTACTGTCATTCAAGTTGGAGCGCCAGAGGGAGACTTCCCAGTAGGCAACCTACCCAGGATTATTATTACTGGCAACCGAATCGGAAGTTCTCGTGGGGAGATTCACGACCCTGCTGGTTCTATATGAGACAAGTCGGGTTTCAATTGAGACCCTCGTTGAGACCATGCCAGTCCCACATGAGACCCTTGTGGTAGCGGTTAACCTTCAGGTACCAGTTGACCCTTSTGGTACCAGTTAACCTTCTGGTACCAGTTCAGAACCTGGTTTAAGTACCCTTGTGGTACCAGTTAACCTTCTGGTACCAGTTCAGAACCTGGTTTAAGTACCCTTGTGGTACCAGTTAACCTTCTGGTACCAGTTCAGGACCTGGTTTAAGTACCCTTGTGGTACCAGTTAACCTTCTGGTACCAGTTCAGAACCTGGTTTAAGTACCCTTGTGGTACCAGTTAACCTTCTGGTACCAGTTCAGGACCTGGTTTAAGTACCCTTGTGGTACCAGTTAACCTTCTGGTACCAGTTCAGAACCTGGTTTAAGTACCCTTGTGGTACCAGTTAACCTTCTGGTACCAGGTCAGAACCTGGTTTAAGTACCAAACACACAACTGTGCCTCACAGGAGTACAGTTTTTTTTTTTTTTTTTTTTTTTTTTTTACAGTTTACCGAGGAAATATTGATGAAGTGCTCCTTGGATCTCAGGTCTGTACCAGTGCTCCTTAAACGACTACTGGTCACGATGCATGTGAAAGCTAGTAGAGAGGTATTTGCGCTGGCTATGGGACAGATCAGTCTACCACCAGGGCCCTGTGCCAGGATCATGCTGTGAATCCTGTGATGCCTACAAAAACTATTAGGGATCCTCTTTTGTCGATATGTATGTATAGGTTGTTTTGGTTTTCTGTTTTTTTTTTACTAAGATAGTCTCTATCACTGTGCGATTCCTGGAGATCTTGCTGTGATGCCTACGAAAACTATTAGGGATCCTCTTTTGTAGATATGTATGTATAGTTTTTTTTTTTTTTTTTTTTTTTTAAACTAAGATAGTAGTTTCCATCATTGTGCGATTGCTGGAAATCTTGCAGTCAGAGAGACACCCTGTACAAACGTCCACGTACTGCCACGATACGGCCTGCACAGGCTGTCGTCATCCATAAGTAGTCAGGCATGGGTGGAAACAACTGCGATAATCTCGAAACCAGCCACACCACTGAGTGCTCACGTGGTCACCAACCGAACTGATCACATCACCACAACACATTTTTTTAATGTGAAAACGGCCATGGTCAGATAGAAAATGACTGTTGCGGCCCAAAATGGACCGCAATAGGGCCACATCGACTGCCAATGACTATGGCCACCCAAACCCACCCAAGGAAAAGGCAGTAATAGCTTCCATCACCCCAAGACAAGCCGCAATAGGGCCACATCGACACGTCTAAAGACTCTAAACCAACCATAGGATGACGGCACGCAACTACATAGGGTGCCCAGCTTAGCCATGTCAACATTTGGCTTGGGTGAGAATAGTCGTGGCAAATGCAGTTCAAGGTTGTAGTGTAGCCCAGAATAGCCATGTGTGTCCCTACAACTAGCCTCATGATGACTGCGAATAACCATGGCTTACTGAACTTGGCCACAAAATTCTCAGAATGACGGAAAACAATCATTAATTTTTGTGCGGCCAGCTACAAAACGAACAAGAGACAACTACGGCGGAGTCACAAAAGAAGTTTCTAAATCCGATAGAAACTTCAAAATCGCAGCGCAGTCGGGCCCCAAGCTCCACATCCAGATGAATTTGCGACCTGGAGTTTGAAATATGCAGTCTGGCTATGCGGTCCATTTTATGGCTGTAGTGGGCGGTAAATATGGCTTGTATACATGGCTGTACCGGACTGGAAAGATCGCTTGTGTACATTTGTTATCAGGGCATGTTATTAGGGCTGTAATTAGGAACGCATGACCGCCACGGCTTGTATAGAGTGCTCCACTGTCCCTCCCCAGAGCTCAGTGCACCCTGATAATGAATGTACATAAAGTCGACTTTTCAGTCCGGTGCAGGTGTAATTAGGAGAGAGAGAGAGAGAGAGAGAGAGAGAGAGAGAGAGAGAGAGACTTCTTGAGAAGTGCAAACCACCCTCATTATGGCTATACGGGACCGGAGAGATCACTGGTATACATTCGTTATGAGGGTGTGCTACTGTCTTCTCCCTCGACCACAATGCACCCTCGTGACAATTGCACACCAGCTATCTTTTCGGTCAGGTACAGCCATAGCGAGCGTGCATAGTCCTCATTGGAGGATGGGAGAGAGTGACAGGTAGAGAATCTTTTCAAGAACGTTATGCGCCTTCGTTAATAATCGTTATGGTTGTACCCTGATGGGTAATCTTCCCACGGAACACAATGCACCCTCAAGAGGAACGTATACCAGAGGTTTTTCCGGTCGAGGACGAGCATATTGAGGGAAGAAGAGAGAGACAGAGTCTTCTCGCGAACATTATGCACCAATCACCATCATTATGCTTATACCTGACTGGGAAGATTGCTTGTACGCATTCTTTTTGAGGATGTAGCATACTTCGGGGAGGTTACCCAAACACAATACACCCTCAAAATGAATGTATACGAACGATCATTCCAGTCAGGTACAACCCTAACGAGAGTGCATAATGTTTGCGAGAACTCTCTCTCTCTCTCTCTCTCTCTCTCTC